GCCTAGTGGTTAAAACGTTCGCTCGTCACGCCGAAGACCCTGGTTCAATTCCCCACATGGGTACAATGTATATGAAGCCCATTTCTGGTGATATTGCTGGAATATTGTTAAAGCAGTGTAAAACTAAACTCACTCTGGTCCAAGACATGCTTTCATGAGCTGTCAAGTAACGAATAGGTTTTCCTGTCCCAAGGGCAATAGGAATGAACTGGATGAAGATCTGGGAAACCATTACTGCAAGCAGAACAACATCTGTATGTGCGGTTTGTACGTAACCTTGCCATTGTCATGTTTTGCAGTATGAGCAAGATGAAGTATGGTGTGAATTCCAGCTTCTTCATGGTTGCAGGAGACAAGTGAAGACAAATCATGTCATTGGCGGATCCCCCCCCCAAAAAGGGGGGGGCGGGGGGCGTACAGAGGAAGAAGAGAGATGTTAGTTTCATCTCAACGTGCATTGAGCCTAGTCCTCCTCGAGGCTTGTCAAGCTCCACCTTGGAATGTTGCACCCTTTGACGTCTGTAGAAATTGAATGAACATTTGTATAATAGGCTACTGTGGCAAATATCTTGGAACTGAAATACCCATTCATTGATTTTGTTATACGATTCTAACCTTCTCATTCAAACCCGCGGGGCTGAAACAGCGATATGTTTGTTCCATGAAATGAATCAATGGCGGCTGGCGAGCTTACGTTGTGATCAATGTTGTCAACAGCAGCAGTTGTGAAGACTTGACCTTGCAGTGTCAGAGGTCGTACTATATTTGGCACACACTCTGTATAAGGGTTGGGTATTACCAAACGTTTCGTATTGCGATATATCCTGATATGTGTTGGCGTATTGCAATATATTGTGAAAGTGTATACATGGTTTAAGGCAATGGAATTTCTGTTTCCTTTCTTTTGAAACAATGCCACTGACCACTGTCAGGATGTGATTGTACCAGAGATCAATTGAAAATGTTTCCAAATTGTGTATCCCGGTACCAATCTATTTATTTTTATCTATATGGTTTAAAAAGTCGCGCAAATGCAATTATGTGACCAATAAACTATTCTCAAATTCTCAAAACTATTAATGTATAATAATATAAAGGATCTGCAAATCATAGTCGTATTTTTGACTACATCACGAAAAATACCGATCATGGTCACGGAAATTGCCGATCGTACTGGGTGACCCGGTTCGCGAAAAGTACCGCAACAGGGGTGGAAATAACCCATTTCCCGACGCCCCAGTCCAGTGTTTTTTTCTGTCGGGCAAGCAAATTTATATATTACACTGTACCGGTGTCCAGTTGACTTTCCTATGTTAATTATGTTGTTTATTTAAAAATTCAACAAGAAAATCAGCCAGTATAGTGGAAAAATTATCAGGGCAAGTGATTTTACATGTGCCACTGTACCGGAGTACACTAGCAATTTTAAAGTTATTTCCACCCCTGCGCAATATATCGTATTGTGAAGTTCGAAATGCAATATACCGGTTAACCGGTATTATCGCCCACTGCCACTCTGTATCCTAAATCAGTTGACATATGCAGTACTCTGCCATAAGGTGTACTTATGCCAAGATCATGAGTGAGTGAGTTTAGTTTGACGCTGCACTCAGCAATATTCCAGCTATATTGCGGCGGTCTGTAAATAATCGAGTCTGGAACAGACGATCCAGGGATCAACAGCATGAACACCGAGCTACGCAGTTGGACCAAGATCATGTAACTTGTCAACCAACTCCCTTTCGTCTGGGCACGAAGCATCAATCCAATGTAAATAGGTACTGTGCTTCCTCATCTAAGTTGTGCCACATGGGTACAATGTGTGAAGCCCATTGCTGGTGTACACCGCCGTAATATTGCTGGAATATTGTTAAAAGCAGCTGAAAACCTAAATTCACCTACTCACTCACTAATGATTAGGGGTGGGTATTGCAAAGAATTTTCATATTGCGATATATTACGATGCGAAAGCATGTATTGCGATATGTATTGCAATATATTGCAGGACGTAAATGCTTGATTTATAAAGCAAAAACACAACAAAATCACTATGCCTGATTAAACTTTAATAAAAACTACTTTACCATTGCATATGTTACATACCGCGTTACTCTTATCAATAGTTCCATCTACCGTGAACTTTTTCAACCCAAAATGCTGCCTTACCGATGCCTTTGCCCTAGTATTTGGCACCACAATAAATTGTTCCTTGTTGGGGTCACCATTTTACAACACACGCAAGGCTTCCGATGTAAAAAACCCGGAAATATCCGAAGATTTCCGAGTGTTACGAAATTTTCCGAATGCATGTCAAAATACCGGTTTTCGATCAACGTATCGCAATACGTATCGTTTTCATGTCTGAACCGGTATATACCGGTAAACCGGTTATATTGCGCAGCCCTACTAATGATATGCAAGAGTCAGGGATCTTAAATCCAGTTAGTATCGATCATTGTCCAACTATAAAGGAAGGAAGGTGAGTGTTTTTATTACGCTTGACGGACGTTTAAGCTATCATTAATATACTGAAGGGATCTCACTGGGACTGCATATTTAAGTCCAAATTGTAGCATTATCACAGACGAAATTACGTGTCTACTTAATTCCAATACAATTGTCACAATAAGTTCAAGATACCCACCATCATGAATAATGAAATACGAAGATTAAATAAGATTTGTTTGTAATAATGTCTTTTTTGTTTTTGTTTTTTAAATATTTTTTTCTGTGTTTATTTATATTCCATTTCAAGTTGCATGTACAGACAGACGAGTGACATGTGTTGGCAGTTACATGATCAAGTTAGTACAAAATCGTATACACATGTGAGGGTGTACATATATAGATAGACGGGAGCTGGGTGAATGTGTTATAACTGTAGTGGACATAATAGTTTGAGTCAGTCTACTTGCATGTGTGCTGATTTAAAATGTCCGAGTACGGTATTTAAATGGTGCCATTTCCTAGTAAAACAACTAAATGTATTATTTTTCATTGCAATAAACCTTTGCAACTCACATGGTGAGTGTATATGTCCTTCCGCAAAATGAGATATTCTGCAAAGGATATATCTTGCTGTTTAAGGCTTGAAGTATAGATGTTTTGTAACAATGTTGTTTTACGCCAAACTCAGAAATATTCCAGCTATATAACGGTGGACTGTAAATAATCGAGTCAGTGATTCAGTGATCCCGTTAGTCACCTCTTGCGACAAGCATGGGTTGCCGAAGACCAATTCTAACCCGGATCTTCACTGGTAACATTTATAAGAAAACGAAGGCGCCTGATATACAACTCATATGAAGAGGGCCTGATATACAACTCATATGAAGAGCGCCTGATATACAACTCACATGAAGAGCGCCTGATATACAACTCACATGAAGAGCGACTACGTTTTCATCTGACTATTGCCAAAACATTTTGGCTGGTTTCTACTAATACAGGTGGCCTTCCTGTTGTAGACATTCCTTAACTTGCTTTGAGCTGTATATATTCGAGTGTTGATTTGTATTGATCCACATTGTGGCCTGAAACAGCCGGCCCAGCAGGTAATACTATAATTGATGACAGCCCGGGACCGAATTCAGATCAAACACTTTTGATTGAGACTGGGCATGTATATAGAGGGAAAGGGCTTCACTTCGACGGAAGGACCTTTATCTTTACTGTTATGCATAGTGACGTGGTATATATGTAGGTATAATACAATCATTTATAGGGCTGCGCAATATAACCGGTTTACCGGTATATACCGGTACAGACATGAAAACGATACGTATTGCGATACGTTGATCGAAAACCGGTATTTTGACATGCATTCGGAAAACTTGGTAAGACTCGGAAATCTTCGGATATTTCCGGGTTTTTTACACCGGAAGCCATGCGTGTGTTGTAAAATGGTGACCCCAACAAGGAACAATTTTTTGGTGCCAAATACTAGGGCAAAGGCATCGGTAAGGCAGCATTTTGGGTTGAAAATATGTTCACGGTAGATGGAACTATTGATAAGAGTAACGCGGTATGTAACATATGCAATGGTAAAGTAGTTTTTATTAAAGTTTAATCAGGCATAGTGATTTTGTTGTGTTTTTGCTTTATAAATCAAGCATTTACGTCCTGCAATATATTGCAATACATATCGCAATACATGCTTTCGCATCGCAATATATCGCAATATGAAAATTCTTTGCAATAACCACCCCTAATCATTTAGGTGAAACTGTATGTCATGAAACATCTATGACATTTAATTTAATTTAACCACACCGGCCAAACCGAACACTGATACAAAGGGTTTCACTTTGAGCAACGTGTTTGCTTCAAATACTTCAGAATTAGTCATCTGAACAATTTTCAGTCACAGGGGCACACGCACACGCTTAGAAACAGCGTTAGAAAGACATATAGGTATATAGACCGTACCCTAGTACTATATAAAAGGATCCTTTTAACGCTGTTTCTAAGCGTGACACGCCCCTGTGGTTTCAGTTGCTTTAGGTTGTAACCGCCCGGGTTAAGTGCGACTGAACAATTGTTAGGGGGCAAATATCTTGACTTTTTCTAGTGTGCATGCTTTAAATACGACGAACAAGGACCTTCTCAAGTAGTAGTTGCTTGGATATTGATATAAAAGTTTTCCCGGACAAATGAAAGTGTGTATCAGGATAAACCTGAAGGATCAAATCCTGTTTCGTTTAACGATTCCTCTTTTCACGCATGCTCAGCCTCTGTTCACAGAGTTTTGAGCGATGTACTCGCAATAAAGTCATTATGCTGAACGTTTGTAGAGTGTGATTGTTCATTATTGTCATGAGTGTATGTTGCATAGATAAAATGTAGGCATAGTTTGGACAATGGAGTAATTAGCCAATAATATCGTTAGCCCGAGCCGGCTTTCACATAATCCCATTTCACAGTGCGACTGTTGAATCAGTGGTACGTTCTCGTGATTTGAAACCTCTGATTCTGATCGATCAATGTCGTTTCCTACTTACCTACTGATCTCGCCCATTCTTTTTTAACAGCTTCCTCGTCGAAAGTTGAAAATATGTGATGGCGTTCCATTATGTGATTTCTGAAAAATGAAACATTATTAGCAAATGCTGTAATCAGAACAGAATTTTTATTACGTTCAGACCGGGGAATCGGCATAAGAGGTACAAATATACAGATAAGTGTAAATAGGATGGCGGGATGCTTTACGTGGAAGATTGTACAGTTTTCATGATGCTATTACAAAACATACATAGTTTTTTGTAAACACAAATTCGTTTACAATTAAAAAATTCATTAAATTTTAACACCTTGGGTTCTTGAACATAGTGGTTTGGGATACGCAAACGCAGACGCAGACGCAGTTGATTTTGGTTCAGATATGTATGCAACTGTCATGGCGGTACTGCGACATTCTGATCATAAGAGAATAACTCCTGCATTCAGCTGCAATCATCGCTTTTGTAGCAGACACTTTTTACAAGGGGGTCATGTCATGTAAGGCACCGACATTCGCTGTGCAGAGACGCGTCCTTTGAACACGATGGTTACGGGTTCGAATCCCAGTTCGCTCCGATCATGTATGCTAGTCAGGGTAATTTTCGTGTTCGATGGATTCAGCAATGGATGGAATCTGAAGCTCTTCTCCCACATCAAGGTACAAAGCGGGGCCAAACCCAACACACTCTTCTATTCACTGTTTTACAACGGACCTGATCAGCCTTCGTTAGATAGGCGGATTTGAGTGAGTGACTGACTGACTGAGTTTGGTTTTACGCCGCTCTTAGCAATATTCCAGCAACATCACGGCGGGGGACACCAGAAATGGGCTTCACACATTGTACCCATGTGGGGATTCGAACCCGGGTCTTCGGCGTGACGAGCCAACGCTTTAACCATTAGGCTACCCCACCGCCCCGGACTTGAGTGAACTGATGATGCTTCGTAAGTGAGTGAATGCAGTTTTACGCCGCTTTTAGCAATATTCCAGCAACATCACTGCGGGGGACAACTGAAATAGGCTTCACACATTGCACCCATGTGGGGAATCGAACCTGGGTCTTCGGCGTAACGAGCGAACGATTTAACCACTAGGCTACCCCACCACCCCCGCTTCGTAAGTGATTATACAACTACAACTACAACTTCTACTAGTACTACAACATCTACTACAACTACAACTTCTTCTGCTACTACTACTACTACTACTACTACTACTACCACTACCACTACTACTACTACTACTACAACTACAACTACAACTACAACTACAACTACAACTACAACTACAACTTCTTCTTCTTCTACTACTACTACTACTACTACTACTACTACTCCATATTCTCCAGAAAGTTTTTAGTGGTTTCGATTAAGCAGCGCTAACAGGAGAAATGTCCCCCTTGGTTGTTGAGCTTCGCGTAAAGGGGGCAAGGGCAATGAGCTGATAATGAGTTATAAACAAGCCTGACTTAACGACGATTTTTGCGCATTTATATAATGTTCAACTCTATTGTAAAACAATATAATAATGACGATGAAGGCGCTAATTATATTGGCTATTTTAGAAACTAAATATCCCAATAAACCCGTTGAAGTCACGCTTCTTGTACAGTGAAAGAAGATAAAAATTACCCTCTCATCCATCCTGCATGATCTTTGTAAGTGATTGAGTTTAGTTTTACGCCGCACTCAGCAATATGGCGGCAGTCTATAAATAATCGAGTCTAGACCAGACAATCCAGTGATCAACAGCATGAGCATCATCGATCTGCACAATTGGGAACCGATGACATGTGTCAACCATGTCAGCGAGCCTGACCACCCGATCCCGTTAGTCGCCTCCTACGACAAGCATGGGTTACTGAAGATCACTATTCTAACCCGGACCTTCACGGGTTTGATCTTTGTGAGATTGGCAAGTTAGCGTGAAGGATGACAGAAAAATGACGTTAAACAAATCCCCTTGGCAAAGGAAATGAAGAAGAAGAAGATTTTATTACTGTCTCACTCGCAGCATATATAAAAAAACAAAGGCATTAAAATATATACAAAATAACTACGACCGATAACTTGGTGATTAATGAGAGACATGTAAAATACATATTCAAATACAGATCCATGATAAAACATGCAATATATATACACACTTGTGAAAAGCGAATAAAATTATTAAGAGTATAAAAGCTGGCGTCTTCTGGCTAAATGTCATGGCACGCCTTGGAAGCATAAAAAGCTAGGTCGGCACAGGATAAAATAGATATAAACTTCTCATCCATTGTTTTGCTGGTAAAATCCTCATAGTTGTTGCTATGATAGGTAAAAGGGAAATGCAGGGTCTATCACATGCTATGGGCCACACATTCACACATGCTTTAATAGTCACCTTACCTCCTCTTAACTGCGACGCTAATCAATTGTACAATGCGTTGCCAAAGATTCCTTGAAGTGGATGTACGGACAAATGTTAAGCAGGGAGTAATACCGTGCCGGCTGTGAACCGTCTGTAGGCTGTTTCTGTCACTGGGGAACAGGTGTTTCATGAGATGTGTGATAAGATACATGGTTGGTTTGTAAAATTGATCTGTAGAAATGTGTTGGACAAACATAATTGTTTGTTACCGAAAAAAGGTTTATTAAATATAATCCTAAAATATAAAATGACGTAATAAATAGAGAATACTACACGAGGTCTCATTACATACGAATTATACGAAACAAGTGTCCTTCCTATGGTATCTGACCGAGCGAAAGCGAGGTCTGATACCATTGGAAGGTCACAAGTTTCGTATAATTCGTATGTTATGAGACCGAGTGTAGTATTTTATTTATTACCCACGTCTTACATGCATTAAATTGACAAAATAGCGTATTTTTGATATTTTTATGGTTTCAAACCGAAACCGGTTTTATAAAGAGGTTGCGGAAGAGTTTTGTACTGTAGTACAATATTTGCATGACGTCACACTGTAATGACGTCACTGCCTTGGTAACCGATGTCACGATGCATGTCAGTTGTCATCGCCTCGTACAGCCTCCTACAGTAAACTACGCCGTAGCACCCCGTTTCTTGGTTTGCAGTTGCTTCATTCGGCTAAGATCACTGGTGGAAACATTGCGCTTATGTTTTTCGACGGATATAATGTCTCAGTTCGACTCACAATTAAACAGCGACACGGCAAACGTTCGCAATGTTTACATTCCCACAATGCATTTATGTTGTAGAATGAGTGAATTCACGTGTTTGTTATGAATGAAAAAATAGTTACGTCAGAATGTGACCTATTTGAGAGGTCATCGGTTATCCAATCAAATCGTTAGAATCTCAGGTCAAGTCGTTACGACACAGGTCAACGCGATACGACACTCGTGTGACACTCGCCTTCATCAGCCACCACGCAGTCTGGGGATAAGACGGCCTTCTTCAGCCACCACGCAGCCTGGGGATAAGGTGGCCTTCATCAGCCACCACGCAGCCTGGGGATAAGACGGCCTTCTTCAGCCACCACGCAGCCTGGGGATAAGGTGGCCTTCTTCAGCCACCACGTAGCCTGGGGATAAGGTGGCCTTCATCAGCCACCACGCAGCCTGGGGATATGATGGCTTTCTTCAGCCACCACGCAGCCTGGGGATATGGTGTCCTTCTTCAGCCACCACGCAGTCTGGGGATAAGACGGCCTTCTTCAGCCACCACGCAGCCTGGGGATAAGGTGGCCTTCATCAGCCACCAAGCAGTCTGGGGATGTGGTGGCCTTCTTCAGCCACCACGCAGCCTGGGGATAAGGTGGCCTTCTTCAGCCACCACGCAGCCTGGGGATAAGTCGGCCTTCTTCAGCCACCACGCATTCTGGGGATATGGTGGCCTTCTTCAGCCACCACGCAGCCTTGGGATAAGGTGGCCTTCTTCAGCCACCACGCAGCCTGGGGATATGGTGGCCTTCTTCAGCCACCACGCAGCCTGGGGATAAGACGGCCTTCTTCAGCCACCACGCAGCCTGGGCATAAGGTGGCCTTCATCAGCCACCACGCAGCCTGGGGATAAGACGGCCTTCTTCAGCCACCACGCAGCCTGGGGATAAGGTGGCCTTCTGCAGCCACCACGCAGCCTGGGAGGATGATGGCCTTCTTCAGCCACCACGCAGCCTGGGGATAAGGTGGCCTTCTTCAGCCACCACGCAGCCTGGGGATAAGACGGCCTTCTTCAGCCACCACGCAGCCTGGGGATAAGGTGGCCTTCATCAGCCACCAAGCAGTCTGGGGATGTGGTGGCCTTCTTCAGCCACCACGCAGCCTGGGGATAAGACGGCCTTCTTCAGCCACCACGCAGCCTGGGGATAAGACGGCCTTCTTCAGCCACCACGCAGTCTTGGGATAAGACGGCCTTCTTCAGCCACCACGCAGCCTGGGGATAAGGTGGCCTTCATCAGCCACCAAGCAGTCTGGGGATAAGACGGCCTTCTTCAGCCACCACGCAGCCTGGGGATAAGGTGGCCTTCTTCAGCCACCACGCAGCCTGGGGATATGGTGGCCTTCTTCAGCCACCACGCAGCCTGGGGATAAGGTGGCCTTCTTCAGCCACCACGCAGCCTGGGGATAAGGTGGCCTTCTTCAGCCACCACGCAGTCTGGGGATAAGACGGCCTTCTTCAGCCACCACGCAGCCTGGGGATATGGTGGCCTTCTTCAGCCACCACGCAGCCTGGGGATAAGGTGGCCTTCTTCTGCCACCACGCAGCCTGGGGATAAGGTGGCCTTCTTCAGCCACCACGCAGTCTGGGGATAAGACGGCCTTCTTCAGCCACCACGCAGCCTGGGGATATGGTGGCCTTCTTCAGCCACCACGCAGCCTGGGGATAAGGTGGCCTTCTTCAGCCACCACGCAGCCTGGGGATAAGACGGCCTTCTTCAGCCACCACGCAGCCTGGGGATAAGGTGGCCTTCTTCAGCCACCACGCAGCCTGGGGATATGGTGGCCTTCTTCAGCCACCACGCAGCCTGGGGATGTGGTGGCCTTCTTCAGCCACCACGCAGCCTGGGGATATGGTGGCCTTCTTCAGCCACCACGCAGCCTGGGGATGTGGTGGCCTTCTTCAGCCACCACGCAGCCTGGGGATAAGGTGGCTGATGAAGGCCGCTTTCTCGCGGAAGTTAAAGGCGAGAAAACGATGACCCTTATCAGCCCTCATACTGAACAGCAAAACATCTTGATGACACCAGCACACGCAGGCAAGCAACTCATTCGTCACCATTCGCCCCTTTCCCTAACCTCCAAGAAGATTCGGCTTGTCCCGGAATAACACGAGTTGGTCACGAATGGCAAGCAACTTTGTGTAGGGTTACGTCCCTTGGGGGAATCACCAGCCAATGATCGTCGGCTTGAATCTCAGATGCGCCCTCAAGATGTTTCTAATTTAGTTATACCATAGGGGTTTCATTGTCTACGACATGTAGTATTTTCCAGTTTTCCTGCCACATAAAGCATGGTGTGCGGACAAAAAACCCTGTGGACAAAAGCCCCCTAGGACAAAAACCCCTTGGACAAAACCTCTTAGGACAAAAGCCCCCATCATGTGGGACAAAACCCCCAAAAGCTCCAAATGAATAACGAAGATTGTTTCTTATTCAAATATTGTATTTAGTCGACATTGGCAACGGTACAAGAAATCTGTATCGAAACGTGGCACTCACGAAATAAAGAAGTTGTTATCCATAAAAGAATTTGTTCTATATTGGACATCACATACATTATGAGCACGAGCAATTTGAGCACTAATTGCCTAACACAACTTGATGTTATGCCCCACACCGATTAGAAAGTCTTCAATGGAGATCTTAGCATCTCCTCGATCTGAACATCATCCTTATTATTCTTCAATATCCCCATGCTGAAATGCCACTGCCTGCTTAGTTACACCAGTTGTAATATGACAATGTGTTGAAATACTTAATAATGTGTACACATCTAAATACTAAGTTGATTAATTAAACTTTAAATACTCTTGAAGTCAGTTAATCATCATCAATAATGCAGCTTCACGCTTAATGATGTTTACAAACCAAATACCAAGTTTATTAATGAAGCCTGTTAATCTCTATCACCGATAATCTCAATTATTGATTCAATCAAAACATGTCACTTAAGTCAGTCATTCAGTAGTTCAAACATGTTTGGGGGTTTTGTTCAAAGGTCTTCATTTGGTTTTTTGTCCTTATGGGTTTTTATCCTAGGGGTTTTTGTCCTAGGGGGCTTTTGTCCACAGGGGTGTTTGTCCTACAATCACGCCGTGACATGACATAATTACAGTGCACCCTGGTTATAATGCCACCCTGGATACAAGGCCATGTATTTGCCAGAATGGATTTCCTGTCTATATAACACCCTAGTTATACTGCCAAACTGGATATAATGCCATTTGCCAATGTTTCTTGGAACAAAAAGACATTTCCCCCAGGTTATAATGCCAATTACACTGGCTGCAAGCTGTGTCACGAAATATTACTGTTTCTAACTGTATTTTGTGTACATGATATATACCTAAGTGTTCATTAAGAGCAAATAGAAACCCATTCTCTTCCCACCGAGGTTACTCCTGTCATATTTTCCTACGTGATATATACCTAAGTGTTCATTAAGAGCAAATAGAAACCCATTCTCTTCCCACCGAGGTTACTCCTGTCATATTTTCCTACGTAACCTCTGTTCTAATACGGCCCTTTCATGGTGTGAGCGCTCAAGACTCGTGATTGGAGGCAATCAGATTTAGTTGTGCAATCAGCGACGTTGTTTCAAAAGTGATCATTCGCAAGGCCTCGGTAATTTCCGTATGCTTCGAGAAAACTAAACTTCTTCCCCTGCGCGATGCGCAAACGTTTCTTCTAGACAGAACTCAGTCATGTTATGGCGGATCAGTGGCGTCTCCATCGCCCTCGTTGACAACGGACAAGCTAGCCATTAAACGTCTTGTGTGTAACATCAACACAAGTCCCCGGCAGATGGGGGATATTTGTGGCCCCACATTTGCTTGTGTTAGTCAAGTTGAATCTAAGTCGATGTAACACGTGTTCTGATTGGATAGAAAGAAGGGAGATAATTCGTGTTGCGATCTTTTGCCGCTAGGGGATTTTACGAGAACCGGAAAATATGGCCGTATTAGAACAGAGGTTCGTAGGAAGATATGACAAGTAACTTCTGTGGGAAGAGACTGATAGAAACCATGTGTAGTGATCTTTTTAATGGAAAAGCTTTAAATGGAAAATATGACCCATACTATGACACATAAAACCAAAGTATTAATTCAGCTGCCGAAATATATAAATTACAGTCAAAGTTTAAGTGTTGTCTTAACCGCGTTCGGGCGTAAGTGTACCCTACAACAGATTCCTAATCGTATTGCGTTCGGGCGTAAGTGTACCCTACCACAGGTTGTACAAAACAACCACAGCGCTAAGACTAACTTAATTTTATGTTAAGGTATGGGTATACGGTCACCTTAGCGCTAAGATCGCTTTGCACAACGGTACCCTGGGGTATT